GTGTGTGTGTGTGAGAGAGTGTGAGTGCGTGTGAGAGAGTGTGAGTGTGTGTGTGCACGTGTGTGTGTGAGAGAGTGTGAGCGCATGTGTGTGTGTGAGCGTGTGTGTGTGTGAGAGAGTGTGAGTGTGTGCGTGTGTGTGTGAGAGAGTGTGAGTGTGTGCGTGAGCGTGTGTGTGAGGGAGTGTGTGAGCGTGTGTGTGTGTGTGTGTGTGTGTGTGTGAGGGAGTGTGAGTGTGTGCATGTGAGCGTGTGTTGTTTCCTAAGGCAAAGTGTTGAGAACTCAATCTAGAGCTGCTCTCATCAAGCACACAGTAGGGAAACTGATATTATTAGCATGTGTGAAACCCAACAGATAAAAAACCATTTTAGAGCTGATGAGACCCTCAGAGCGCTGATCCAGAAACCATTTCCCGCGATTACATGTGAAGCGTTTTGACTCTATAAGAACACGAGTGCAGCAGGACACTCATCTGTGTTATTTCCTGAAACCTGCGACCCATTTAACCTGCGCTGGTCGATCCGCTCCGAAGAAGGAGGTGTCGGAGGAAAAGGCGCCGGCGAGCCTGAACTCGTCCCGCAGGAGCACGCAGAAGAGCCGCTGCGGCAGGGCTTTGGAGTACGGCGCGGGCCGCGGCACACAGGTGCGCAGCAGAACCTCCCGTCCAGCAGGGGGCGGAAAATCCGGAACCGCTTTCCTGTCATCCGTCCCTCCAGAACGACCCGCCTCGTCCTCCATCGGCGCCAGCAGAGCGGCCTGAACACATCGGCACACAACACACATCAGTCACGCGCTGACTTCATATCAGCTGAGCTGACAACGTTACATAAACGTATTTGACAACGCTCAAACGAGTGTGTAGAGACTGCAAATTGACACAATCTATTTTTTTCTGTGCAGGAACAAATTCCACTAATTGCGAAGCTGATTGCAAATTAGCAGATGCCGGAACTGAGATATAAAACATGTTCTGGATTCAGATCAACCTGCAGCATCTGTGACTTCCAAAACCCCTTCATGAGCACAGAAACACTCGCTTCTGAGGGATTCAATTCAATTCAAGTGTATTTGTATAGAGCTTTTCACCATGCAAATCACTGCCAAGCAGCTTTACAGAAAATGTAAGTTTCTTCATTACATTTAATAGTATATAGGTTAAATATTGCAGCCAATCACAGATGTGCTTGATGAGCACGTGAAAGCAACGGCCAATCAGAGGCATTCGAGTCAGAATCCGCTCGATGCGCTAGAGTTTGTTCAGCGAATCGTACAAACACGATGTAAATAATGGATTAATTGTGCTGAATAGACAGATTGAATGACTATAACGGGAGTTTTGAGCTTGAGCTGCATCTGAACTGAACTCATATGAGAGCGTCTTTGCTCACTTTCTGATAAATTGAATAAAAGTTTTATTTTTCAAGCTACTTAAGCACAGACTGCAAAGTTTCGGAAGCGACGCCCAAATGAAAACTGAATCTGAAATAGCGATATTTGACACTGTGATAATCACAACAGACGAAAACAGCCTGATAGGTCAACACCGCTCCATGTTTAAGTGCAACAGATCCGACACTTATTCTGTTACCAGTGATGCGTTTGTTACTTTATTACTAATTATTCATTTGATCATTTTAATGCAATATTTACTTAATTGAAGGATATTATTTTTATAATTATTAATAGCTTTAATAATGAACACATTTTATTTTATAAATAGCTAAATAAAAACATAGTTATAATAGTTTTTGCTTTGGTGCCGAAATTGATAGCGAGAACCATGAAGTCTGACAGGTATTGGTACAGACTACAGAAATGACTCCCACAAACGGATCTGGTTCTGAACCCAGAACACAAACACGAGACTAACTACAGCAGAACATCACTGTCTATCTCTACAGAACCAACCTCCAGGTCCATCAGGAAGCCCTGCCACACCAATCAACCAAACACCAGAGCGCAGATCAGAAAACAGATAACAGAGATGATTCTACACACTGATCCGCACTGAAGTACATCATCATGGTGACAGGTGTTAGATTTTACCTCGTCGCTGGAGTCGGCCAACTTCACAAGAGTGACAGACAAGCGGTGTTAGGAGAGAACAAACAAACAAACAAACACAAATGAAGAAAAACAACAACAAAACACAGGGCCAGATAAGAGCATCTGTACACGTTCAGTGTGTGTCGCATGCTTTAGATCGAGCCGCGAGGAATGAATCTCACAAACATTTCACACAAAAATCAGAAACATGCATAAAGAAAACAAAAGTTGTAGCAGTATTTTAATCACAATTAAACACATTTTCCGTAGTGACTATAATAAATATGCAAACAATATATACTGAACTGAACTGAATCAACACTGATCTGAATTATGACTTCTTTAGAGCTGCTTTGCAGCCGAATATGAGTTTGTCTCATATTTGATGAAGTCTGCATCACCGATTCTGTTATGTTCTGTTCATGACGGTGAAGCTGCGCTGAAATGATCTGTACTGGATAATAAAGCGCTACAGAAATAAATGTGACTTGAATTTAAATTGTACAGTATTTATACATAACAGTACAGCTACTACTTTTAACAAATGACTTGCATTAATTTGGGAGTGGAAATGTGCTTAATTATCATGACAATAAATGTTACAATAATTCTAATGGTTCTATAAGCTTGAACTTATTTAAGCATCCCATGACATTTTTTCTGTTTTGGTTTTGGGTTGAAATCCAACTGTGAGATTCATCCCTAAAGAGGAAACCGTAAAAATGTGCGAAACAATAAGGTTCTTCAGTATAATGTTCATTCTGAAGGTTAAAGAAACAGAAAATTATTCTTTGATGAATCTGATTGATCATTGGTGCAGTCATGCTTTGGATGTGTCCGGGTCACGGCACCACTTGTTCTGTTCTTCAGAGTCACACTGAAAACATCCAAAACATGACCAATCAGAGCAAACACGATCAATGCAAGCACATTCCCACAAACACATGCAACAAAAGCAGCCGCTGTGAGTCTGTCTCTCTCTCATTTCTCTTTCTTGCAGGAAATCTCACCTCATTTGAATCCCTGATTTCACATGCTTTGCACGGGGATGCTTGGGATAATTATTGCCTTTCTATTTGCAGCCTGGCAACACACAGGCTATAATTTAGTCCTCACACGCACACGGTAATTGAGGAAGATTTCCAGGCAAACAAACTCCATTTCAAACAGTTCTCACTTAAAGCAAACTTGTGAGCACGGATCTCGTTCGTGAGCATCTGAAGCTCAAGCCAAGCACCGCAGCGCTGACATTTCAACGCTCATATCACATTTTCAGCCTGTTTAACTGTAAATAGCTGAGAATTACAATTTACACTGGGGCCATTGAGCACAAGTGCATCCTGGGAATGATGGTGATGCACATAGAAGAGACTAATACTAACAGGGTAAATTAATGAGGCTTCAGGTGACTCATGGGTCAATCTTACAGAAAAACATTCAGATTGATTCATCTCAAAATCAAAAGAAAAAACATTGCATTAAATTTAGCGTAAAAATGCAGCTCTGCTGACATTCTCTGTGAATTACAGGTCAGATTTTTGCAGTGAAATCAATTGAAATCTATCAATCTGATCTGGAAAGTTCTCTATGAGATTGACCAGCTACTAGTTAGCACACTGATGAGTGGTCAGGTACTAGTTCCACTAACTAAAACCCTAAGTAACTCAAACACAAGCCGTTTATCAAACATGCTGTTTAACCGTCAGACTCCAAACGAGCTAAATCACTCGCTGGCGTGTTTAATTACCTCTGTGTCACATTAAAGCTCTAAATGAAACCAAGACATCTGCCGCATTTCATTAATTTAGCTAATTATGACAAACAGCAAAAACAGCTCCAGCAGTTTTTTAAATGTATTTTTAAAGCTGTGGCTCGTCCTGCTGTTAAAGTCGTCATGATGCGCTTCAATGCGTTCGGCAGCGTCTCGGTTAATCTGGTTAATTTTTGGAAAAAATAAAGTATTAAAATGATTAAGGTCTTTAATGCAGCGTCCGGTCCAGACATGTCTGTCATCTTACACTGATGAACATGATGCAGGACGACTGACTGCAGAATGCAGTTATATGAGCCTAAAGATTCAAGATACGAGCACAAAAAATAAATCACCCTCTAATATTTATATCATATGATATAGTTTCGCGATTTCACACCAGCTAGAGTGCTGCTTTCCCCCAATATCTGCACGACTGCAAATGAGATTCATTTATACAACAGTTCAAGTTCATATCGTGTTACATTTTAGACACTATATTGTCTGTTTTGCTCAATTTCACAAATGAAAAGTTCAATCAAAGCCACAGCAGAACTGTTGAGCATCTCTGATCAACACACAGCGGTGATTCATTACTGAATGAATCCACGATTTTGAATGAATCACGTGAGTCAATGATTCAGTGACTCATTCATAAAGACAGCCACTTGCTTTGGTTCTGAATGAATCAGCTGTTTGAATGAATCAGTTGAAAAAATGTGTGTTTGTGTGTGTGTGTGTTGGTTTACCCGCTGAGAGCTGACGAACAGCTTATGGATGATGTTTCCAGCAGGTCCTCGTCCGGCTCCAATCACAGAAACCTCGGGCTCCTCCAGCAAACAGCTGACAAACCTGACAGACGGCAGACAGGAAGAGCATGCAGGAGAGTTTAGATGAAGAAAGAGAAACGTTTATCATGTTAATATCCATCTCCGTGACAGATGAAATGGGAAATACAGCCATAACAGAGAAAAACTACTGCGTGTGTGTGTGTGTGTGAAGTCAGCCACCAACAACATGTATGTTAGACCCTATTCCATCTAAGCTCCTAAAAGAGGTGCTATTATTAATAGAGGACTATTATTAATTCATCATTGAAAACCTTCAAAACTGGCTGTTAAGCCTCTCATTAAAAAAAACACAACTTGACCCCAAAGATCTAGTTAATTACAGACCGACCTCGAATCTCCCTTTTCCGTCCAAGATACTAGAAAAGGTAGTATCCTCACAATTATATTCCTTCTTAGAGAAAAATGGTATCTGTAACAAAGTTCATAGATCGGGAAGGAGGCAGCGGGAACCGGCGAACATTTAAACAATTTAATAACAAAATAAACAAAACTGAAAACAGCCCCTCCCGGCAGTCTGC